ATCACCTAGACCAAGGCTACCAAATAACCGAGAACAGGCATGGAAAAGGGCAGTAATACTGCATAAAAGTCTTGTCAAAGATTGCGTCAAAAGGCAACACTTTATTACCTTTATGAAAGGAGTTTTGGACAACGGACATGTGGAAAGGGCCCTTATTTGATTCCTCTGCCACCTTTCAGGGAGTGTCATTGAACAAGGTACTGCTCAAAGGCCCTGATTTGACAAATGGACTGGTAGGGGTACTAATGCGTTTCAGAAGGGAAGGTGTCGCTGTTTGTGGGGACATAGAGAGTATGTTTTATTGTTTTGGAGTGGCCGAGGAGCACAAGAACTTTTTAAGATTTTTCTGGCATGAAGAAAATGACATTAGCAAACCGTTAGTAGAGTATAGGATGTGTAAGCATTTATTTGGAAACAAACCCTCTCCAGCAGTTGCTAACTATGGCATACGAGACATCATCAAAAATGCTGATCCTGATGTGGTAGAATTTGTCAATAACAATTTCTATGTAGATGATGGGTTAACATCTTGCGAGGATCATGAAACTGCAATATCATTGGTGAAAAGAACGCAGGCTGCTTTAATGGATGGTGGCAAAATACGCCTACATAAAATTGCTTCTAACAGCCAAGAGGTACTAAACGCATTTGATCGAGAAGAAATTGCAAAGGACATCAGAGATTTCAAAGTGGAAGTAGGTGGTGCTCCTCTCCAAAGAAGTCTAGGCTTACAGTGGAGATTATGTGAAGATGTCTTCACCTTCCATATTGACTGTGAAGAAAAACCATTCACAAAGCCTGGTATTCTAGCAACCATTAATAGTATATACGACCCCTTAGGATTTGTTTCTCCAGTTTTGGTGCATGGAAGAGTCCTGTTCCGTAACATGATGCTACTCAAAGCAGATTGGGACGATCCACTGCCTGCACACATTAAATATGAATGGGAGTCATGGAAAGCAAATCTACGGAAGTTGGAGTTATTGCGTGTATCAAGAACTTACCACAAAATTAAAAGAAGAGAAGTAGTGGATTCAACTGTACATGTGTATTGTGACGCCTCTGAGCAGGCTGTTGCAGCGGTGGCGTTCTTAAAGACAAACAGTGTAAAGGGGACCGAAGTTGGATTTATAATAGGAAAATCACGCATAGCTCCTAGACAAGGTCACACCATTCCCCGTCTCGAACTCTGTTCCGCTGTGCTTGCCACTGAATTAGCCAAAGTAGTCACCACAGAGCTAGAC